CCCACGTGCTTGTCTGTCTCTCTGTGATTTCTATTTGTAATATAAGGAAACACTTCTTTTCTCTGTGGATTTTCGCTAGTTTGCCTCATTAAAAAGAAGTGCATGCACGTGGATAGGTAATAACACCCAGGTGCACACCCTCAGGGTCCATTTAGGATGGGTGCAAAATTTTAGGTTTCGAGATGCTTTCCTCTTGGAGTTATGGCGGTCACACACACACACACACACACACACATAGACCCACAGACACGCCCTTTTATTATTATAGATACCAAAAATCCAACAAAAGTTTATAAAGCAATATTTTTAATTCAATTCAGTATAAAACATCTCTTTTAAAAACAATTGTAGAAATATAATTAAATCTAGAAATATTTTTAAGCAGTGAGTATGCCTTCAATCTGGAACTACTTTTAAGAGGTGGGGATATGTTCCATCAAGTGATAATTTTAAAGAGTGGGCATGCATTCCATATGGAGATCGTTTTAAAAAGTGAGCATACATCCCATCTGGAGATCTTTTTTGCATGTTCAGACTCACTTTAAGCAGTGAAAGACACACGCATGGGAAGAAAAATACTGAAAAATCATGGCTGAAGATCTAACAATTTGTCGGCTGGGTATAATAAAGTTATACTCTGATTTTTTTTCAAAAGAATGAAGGTACTGTAATTGAGTTAATTTTTGTGTAAGACGACAATAGCAGATTTCATTTACTGGATTCTGGTTAAGATACATAAACAGACCACAAGATTCTGAAAACAAAGCTTTTTATTTTGTTAAACGCTGGTATGTTTCAAAATCGATGTCTGGCAACAGATACTGTATACTCCATGCTCAACTAATATGAGTTTAGATTCTACTTTTTGTCAGATCTTGTTTAGTTTAGATGATCTTCTATAGACTTGCATAAAGGTTTTGTGCCTGAGTAATGCAGTAACTAGTATGGCTGGTAGTAGTTTTAACTTATTGTGCTGCCATCTAGTAGTTACATTATTTACTATTTAACTAAAAGTTTCACCCAACGACAAAAGAACACTTGTGAAAGTGTAATACAGCGCTATATTTATAGTTGTTACTAAATGTTTCATTTGTATTCGACCATAAATAATTTTATAATAAAACATTTTTAAAATCTTTCTTATGAGGTGTAACAAATATACCTTGTTACCAGTTTGCTTTTTATCAAATTATTTCAATAAAACTCTGTTTGTATATAACTAACCATTAAACATTTTGTGTAGAAAAAAATACTATGAACACACACACACAATCAGCTGATGTAATAGTTTTTTATAACAATCAGCTTAAGTTTACATCACAGAGAAAAACTTATTTACACATTGTTTACAACAACACCTTTTTTCCAAACATGAGCGACATCTAGTGTTTTGTTTCAGATTTTTCGTGGAAAGCTACACAAATGGCTATGATAAACTAGAGAAAGGTAGCTATTAAAAAGTACCCACCGCAAACTCTTGGGCTAGTTTTGTCTGATCAAACAGTGGAATTTGACCGTCATTATCACACGCACCCACTAGCCAAAAGTATGGAGCACATTTTTTTGTGGCATCTGGTTGCGTGTATCACGAATCTTCGTATGCACAGAATGGCCAAATGAAATATATATTGTGTTCCTTGAAATTCCTTTTCTAATGCATTTTAGTTCAAAGTTTAGGCAGTGGGTACTAAACAATTTTATTTCAGAAGCTGAAGAGTGAAAACTGTTGAATAATGCATTGATTAAAAAAAACGGTTATATTAATTCACACTTAACGGGAAAATAGTATAACATCATAAATATTTCCATTTTCGGAAAGTTTTTTATTTCAACTAACAAAGTCAAAATCTAGTGATGTCACGCATACTGGTATAAATAAAACTAGAATACAAGATACAGAGTGACTATGGTAGAATATATCCTATTAGGAGAGGCATTTGAGATGTAGAACCCAAACAGTGGCAAAGATACACCATCATTCATCTATTCGCAAGCCTCCAGTGTGGAATGAAACTAAAAATTAAAAGTTAGAAACAGATACGAGTTTCGTTGTTCAGGAATGGCTACAAATTTTGAAAGAGATAATAGTTTCACAGTTCGTGGATGGCTACAGATTTTAAGACAGATATGAGATTCACAGCTTAGGGATAGTTACAAATTTTGGGAGTTGTATTAGTTTCATTGTTCAGGGATAACTATAGATTTTAAGACAGATATGATATTCACAGTTTACAGATAGTTACAAATTTTAGGAGAGATATCAGTTTCATAGTTCAGGGTGGTTACAAATTTCGGGAGAGATATTAGTTTCATTGTTCAAAAATGGCTACAAAGTCTAGGCAGTTGTTATTAGACACAATATGTCGAACATTTTAACATTCATTGGTTTGTGCCTTTACAACCACACTGCTGTTCTTGTGCATAGTAACATGCGTATTTTTGGTGTAATTAGTAAAATATGGCACAAAGAATCGGAGTGCAAACAGCAGTTTGATCTCTCATATACACCATTATAATAATAATTGTCTTTTTAATTCCAGTAATATAGTACAATACCAATCTCCCCGAAGAACTTACTGTTGTATAAACCACCAAAAATAACGCTGTCTAACAGTGTGAATATGTGAATGATTACAGAAAAGTTGGAAATTAACAGTTTCGAGATATAGTGTGAATATACAGTACTCGCAAAAAATAAGGAAAAATGTGTTTTTTTAATTTGTATATTTTTAAGTTATAATTTTTTCAAATGTTTCAAAAAGAATACTTATCGTAGAGGATTACACTAATCCTACCTATGGTTTGCAAGTTTATGCACCAATGATTCCTTGTGTAATAGGCCTATATGAGAAATTATACAAATTCTGCAAAGTGATTAGGAAAGATTTTTCTGTTGAGATAATACTAGATTTATGGACTTTTTGCTGGTATTAACGTTTGCAAAGAGTGTGCAAGCTGTTGGAAACCAATTAACTGAAACTGAAGTTTGCAGAGCCGTCATACTGCTTCAGGAGGGTTGCACTCAGACTGAGGTGGGAAAGGTCATGGGGGTGTCGCAATCTGTGATTAGTAGACTGTGGTGCAGATAATAAGCCACAGGAAAATACACTAGGAAGCCGGGACAGAAGAGCTATAGGTGCAGTAGAAGACCAATACTTGCGGTACTTAGCCCTTAAAAACTACACTAGCAGTACCAGGGGTGTCAGATACTAGCTTTAGCAAGGCCACTAGAGTGCGTGTATCGTACTTAACGGTCAGAAACAGGCTCTGCGATGCTAATCTTAGGACCAGAATACCAGTTACAGCCTATGTACTAACCTCAAAGCACAGAACAACCCGGCTGGCGTTAGCTCAGAAATATGTCACGTGGACCCTTCAGCAACGGACCCCTGTACTGTTCACAGATGAGAGTAGGTTATGTGTATCTTCAAGTGAACGACATGTGAGGGTCTGGAGACTTGAAGTAGAATGATATTCGGCCTGCAACACTGTCCAGCATGACATCTTTGTGGGTGGCTCAGTCATGGTTTGGGATGGCATCTATATACACTATGTAGTGGATGGAGGATCCCTAGCAGCAATACGTTACGTGGATGAGATCCTGCTACCCATTGTTCGCCTTTTTGCTGGTGCTGTCGGAGATGGATTCGTGTATCATCAGAACAATACCTGTTCTCACACCACAAGATAGTGCAGAAATATATTCAGGATGAAAGAATTAGAGATACTGAACTAGACTGCTAAGTTCCCAGACTTAGTACGATTGAGCATGTGTGGGACTTGTGAGATAGCAACTTCTATTTCTCTTTCTTTTTCGTTATTATCGTTCATTTATTATTTTTTCTGTCGTTTAATTTATCCATGAATTTTTAGTATCATTAAAACGCTAATCAATTGTAGCTAATAAATTGTATTTTGAGTAAATACGCATGTAGGATGAAACTGACACTAGATTCCCTAGCGGTGACGTACAGATAATATTAATGTAGTAGAAGATTATGTAAAGATATTATGATATGAAGTGTACTCTCGTGACCTACTCAGTGAATAAATACCCTGCATTAACTTTACTAAGAGAGAGAGTCACGAAATAGTTAGAGAACGATACAGTTAGTGAATTATTGATGTTTATCCCTCGATATTATTATTAATATTGAAAGGTAGTTTTGTGTCGCTGTATTTCTTTTTCTTTTGGAATTACGTTTTTTTTTCTTTCTGGTTCTTTTTTCCGATTCCATTGTTTGAAATAATATTAATATTTATGATATATTGTTCATTAACATTAGTGTCAAGTCCTGGCCAAGCACGTGTTTATTAACTGTGTTTTGGTAAGTGTTGAATTTATTTCTAAGTGTTCTTATAGTTGAATAAATTGCTTTTGTTGTTGCTGAACCCTGATTGTAGCAGCGTGTTTATTTTAGATCGTTTCAGACCTGCTACAGAGAGCAGTTAGAGACAGATAACCTGCTCCTACGACTGTACAGGAGCTGAGAGTTACCTTCATCCAGGAGTAGACTGTGCTGCCCCAACAAGTCATCCAAAATGTCATCAGCAATATGGGGAATAGATGAAGAAAAGTCAAAAACAATAAAGGAAGGCTTACCAGCTACTAAAAGCGTCATTTTAAGTTTGCTCATCTCAATACTAATCTCATTAACATTAGTGTCAAGTCCTGGCCAGGCACGTGTTTATTAACTGTGTTTGGTAAGTGTTAAATTTATTTCTAATTGTTCTTATAGTTGAATAAATTGCTTTTGTTGTTGTTGAACCCTTATTGTAGAAAAGAATTTCTGAAGGTTATAATATATCTTCTGAAATTATATACTATCAAGCCTGATTAATTGAAGAAAATTATTGTAATGTTGTTGTCAAAACTAACACAATTGTAGAAATAAAATATTTGTAGCATCTTGTGTATTAATTCATGGAATTCATCAGGCACATAAATACCAAGTTATATTTTTTAAATATTTTTATTGTGTTATAACTGACCAAGATAAATACAAAAATATTGAAATAAAAACAAGTTTGTAACCTGAGGTCGTTTATTGAAACTTTTACCATGCGGTGTCATACGTGTGCTAAGATCTGTACGTCTCCTTGATTAACACTAGATGGCGCAACAGGCGATCCATTTACAGAAACAATCACAGCATCTTGAGTGACTACTTGAGAAGAGTCAGTAGTTTGAACTATGGTAACCCTGTTAACATCCATAGTTTTCCGAATATTTTGTTCAGTGCTGTCACACCCCGTTTGGTTTATGCTTATCTGAGATCCCATTTGTGTCACTAGACTATTGCAGTTTGCACTGTTCCTGCTCTGACCACTAGGGGTTGTAACAGTTTGCGCGACCTGAGTGGACACGGATAAATCTGTTGGGCGAGGAGAGTGACTGGAGTCCACAAAGAGAGATTCGTGTGATAAGAAACTTAAACTTAACGACAGGTTGCGGCTGTGACTAGTGTTTGCTTGTATGGCACCGCTACCATTTTGTCGAGACTCCAGAGTATCCGAACTTGCTCGCAACGGCCCACCTGTACTAGTTCGCGACCGGTAACTTGGAGGTCGACTATTCTCTCGTTCTACCAAGTTCAGGGGTTGTCTAAAAAAGTGAAAAATAAGTCATGTGTTTTTATTTTTTAATGTTCATATCAATAAAATATCAATGTTAGCTTCTTATGATATATATTTACCTACTTCAACACCTGGTAGGTAACCGCTGTATTCCTATACATTCTGACAGAACAAGCTCATTGTCACGGCTTATTAGATGGGTAATTTGTTTGCCAATACTAATCCTCCTTACTTATAACTATATATATATATATTTATTTATTTAACAATTATTAAAAAATATTTAGTAAGCTACACTTCAGCTTAGATGAAGTTGTTTTATACACATGGCTTATTTATCGTTTGTTTGTTTTTTAATTAAATCTATGTCACTTGTTAAATATTATATTTACGAACAAAAGAAGTCAACGGGCTTAATGCTGGGAATAGCACCCCTTTATATCATAGCATATAAGTTTCTGCGAAAAAAAAACTGAAATGACCTTCTAATCTTAACCATCATAATATCTTAATATTAGTAACATACTATGTCCAGTTTAAAATAAATCATAGGCGTCGCTATTTGCTTAAAAGATTCGAGTCTCGAGCCCATTTTTGGGGCTTCAGTATAATATCAATCATGGTGCTCCATTCTGAACTTTCAAGACACCAATAGGGGATTCGGGGTACTGTCAAATATAATCGGGGCACGATTCTCGTATGCCAGGGCATAGCGTCACCTCAGAAATACATTCATAATATTAGTAATATACTGTCTTGATACAAAATGATAAACCCATAACCCGAGCGCTTTCGAAAGGTGGACCTTTCTTCGTCAGGGACATACTGTGTCCAGTTCAAAGTACATTCAGACCAACGATAGTATACGTTACTGGAATTGTAGCAAAGTTTTCGCGTTTTCTTTAAACAAGAGTAATAAATGTTTCTAATCCTAAAAGACAAAATTGTAACTTGATCTCTGAATTAGTAAATGAAAATATATTTAGAGTTTCGAATGTTATATTTCTATAACAAAATATTTACTATTTCTAATGTTACATTTTTTCTAACAAGAGCACGAAATCAAAGTTACTATCAGGAATACAAAGTGTTTAATAACAACAACAACACAAAAAGACTAACCTTTGCAAAGTGCTTGGGTGTGAGCGATATGTTGGGGGTGGTGAAACTGTAGATGACGATGGTGCTGCCCCATGTTGACGGTCTAGTAGAAGCAGCCTTAAGCGATATTCTTGCATGGAAGCTTGATAAGAAGGGGGAGGGGGTCGGTGTTGAAATTCTGGATACATCATAGCTACAAGTTGTAAAGTTGGAAGATTAATTACTTTAAGTTTGAAAGTAACCGCTTATATATATAGACCCTATGCGCGTGACCGTCACACATATATTACCGACAAGTAAACACCGCCATTTTGGACGTGGCAGAGAGACAATCTAGTAATCACAATAGCTGTGCGGCAGTAAAACGTGCAGAACCGAACCGCACTGACAAGGCTTGAAAACCATCGTCGTACCAAAGACTATTCAGTTCCCACTTTATATCTGGTTAGTAGTATTCGTATATATACTATGGTTGAAGCCCATGCAAGCAGTGGGCGATAATAGTTTTATCAGAAATGTGGCTTGTCAAGACAGGTGGTCTAAAATCAGGGCTTATTTGTGCAAAATATATGGTAAAGTGTACTGAAGAAAGTTGTCTTACAAGACAGGAGGGCTTAAAATGCAATACAATACGATGTAGTATATCTATATTGTAAATTTACCATTGATAAAACACAAACAATAGGCCTAGTCACTAAAAAACAACTTTGACTTACCCTCGAGTAAGCTATGTAGTTGGACATCTCGTACACTTTCCACAGTCTGACATTGTGCAGCCGGCCACAAAATATTTTTAAGCATCAAAGCTTTTATAGGCCTTGAACTGCTTTCCGGTATAAAAAGATGTTGTCAGGACTAAATAATTTACGATATCTATATTCTCAGCCTATGAGAATTTAACGTTGGTTTGTAGGCCTAACTCGGATCCTCCGTTTGCGATGTTGACTAATTTATTGGCATCTAGCGTAGTTGTCATTGCTGGCGGGATGGAATAAGGATCTGTCTGCACTTTTCTTCCTATCTTGGCTTGCATATATTGTCTAGTTTGCTATTAAATTCGTGAAAAATGAACAGAGAATTAGGTGATTGTGTAGAGAAGGCCATGTTTTCATGAATAATGTTTACGTCCAATATGGCCGCAAATTGTTGCAGTGTTTACGTGAGTGCATAAGGTGTATACACACTCATATACGTATATATCAGGGATATGTATGTCATCACAGTAGTCGATACGATACGTATCTAGATACAGAAGTTTTAACAATGGTTTGTTAGAAAGTTTGATAGTATTGTCTGTCATTTATTATCTATGTTACTAACATTGTCTTATTTAGGTAGTTCACACTTTACAGTGCTTTTTTAAATTCTCGGGTTTGATCAACTAAATGGCAGCTGGCAAGAGAATTAAAATAAAAGAAGTTAATATCTGTCTACCTATTTTGTTATTGTTAATTTATGTCACTTTGTATGTAATGTTTTTGATACAAGAAATTAAGACAACGCGAAGTACTCAATACTCGTCTTCCTTTACTGAATCATTAATTTTTAGCAAAAATACTTTATTAGAAATTCTAATTTTCTTCTGTACAAAAGACTTACAATATTTACTGAAAGCTTGCCAAATGTCGTATCGGACGATGTATCGATACAATCGTACACAGCTTAACGATACGATACTCGTATCTTATCACTGTATCGCCACACTTTTACTATATTGTTGCGTCATCGAGATCACATGACTACAGTGACGCCACGTTTCTAGAACTATCCCGTATCT